AGTTTTCGTTTTTGTGCTTAATACTGAGGTAACGGTTTAATGAGGGGGTCAAATTTCCTTATTAGGTGCTTGATACAGGGGTTATAGTTTAGTGGAGGGGGTAATTTCTTTATCTTGTGCTTGATGAAGTGGTAACAATTTAGTGGAGGATAAATTTTCTTTATTTTGTAATTGATACAGGGGTTACAGTTCAGTGGAGGGGGCAATTTCTTTATCTTGTGTTTGATGCAGTGGTAACAATTTACACCCTTGGTATACGCAGCTAACGAAAATTGACCGGTAAGAATTTCATCCTGCTTGCAGCGAGAAGACGGACCGGTTCGGGGCAATCTGCTTGCAACGAGAAGACGGACCGGTTCGGGGCAATAGCTGATGAAATTCTTTGTCACAAAGTTTGGCATTTTTTATAAAATCAAACGCGCGTCATTGAAACTCACAAGATGTAAATAGCATGTCATTTACATCATACCTTGATGGGGAAAAATAGATCTTATATGTTAGAAGTACTAAATAAAAGTTATCGTGAAAATGAGACAGTCGTTCTCGAGAGAAAAGAGCATAAATGCGCATTTAGAGAGTTTTGGCCCGTTTAAAAACCTGTAAAAAATTGGGGTACTTTAAAGCATCGGGGGGTATCATATATTTCAAATTAGACACGAGGAAGTCAATATTGAGCAAGTTATGGCTGTTTTAAATTCAAATAAAACCGTTAACCCGTACCGGTCCAGCTTTTGACCCGTACCGGTCAATTTTCGTTAGCTGCGTATACCAAGGGTGATTTAGTGGACATTACACATTGGTGTAATGTTAACAAGGAAATGTGACATTTACCCCTAGAATAATACGCTCACATATAAGGACAATGACATTTGCTAAAGTGATGTACTCGTATTGGTACTGTAATTGGAAAATGCATGCGTTTGTCTCTAGTTTGCTTTGCTTAAATACATCATGATAAGCCATGACATCTCATTACATGTGAAACAGAAAGATGCTATGAGTATCAGAATGGCTTAAATACATAAAGTTCATAGCTTAAGTTTGCCTCTCCGACGACTCGATTTTTCTTACTGGTATGTTTGTAAAGTTGCCTCTATTTTGAACTTTTATATAGACCCTATTTGCAAAAATAACGTTACATAATGGTTATACATGTATGTAATTGTGTACTGTGTAATATTTGTATAATATTATATATTAGTAATAAAGATTATTATCATTATAATTTGCCAACAAACATGAGTTGTTATGTCAACTAGTTATATATTTTTGCCTAACCTTGAGTACCAAGGAAACCAGAATGATACAGCTACATAAATAGCTTGAAGTTTGAACCTATCATAGCTTGTTTTAACAGCTAATGCAAGCGAAAACCTGAGTTTTACAGTGAAATGTTTTTGGAAAAAGCCTATCAAAATCATTTTGGGAATTGTGATAATATATTTAATTTCCATTTTGGAAAATGTCTCCAAAATAAATCTTGAAAATTCCAATGAAAATTGTTGTTTCATTGCAAATATAGAGGAGAAACACGACTGCATCATTGAACCTGCTCGGGGTACTATGAAGTTGGCTTCGAGTTTGATCTGACTCGTAATGCTGAGGAGATGTTGAACTTTCTTTTAGTTTGCTTTCATTAGTAATAACAACGATGCTTACTTGTAGTTTATTCACATCGGTTCCTTGATCAAGTAAGGTTCCAGTCCCATCAAATTAATGCCTATTATGTTCTTCGCAAGATTGAGTGGCTTTTGATTTGTAAATTGCTAGTTTAGCCTCAAGGAACCTTACTTCTATGCAAATGCTTCTTGAGCTTTCTGTAAACCTTAAAAGTTGTGATTAAATATCTATTTTCTGATCTTTTATCAGGGACTTACTTGATTTGATTTCTTGCAACAGATTTAGCAATTCAAATCCAAATCCTGCACGATGAGATGTTTTGCCATGAAGGATGCTATAATATCTCGATCAACTATCTGAAGCTTTTACTTTTAGTCCATTGTCGGGATTAATTCATTTATATGTAGTATGCTTCTTAGTTAAGATGATGAGCTGACTCTAAATTGACTATTAAATGCTTTACTTTATATTTAAGGTAATACTCTCATAGACATTGACTCTCGTGTTCAGAGTTGAACCGCTGACTTAACGAATTTTTTCTCTAACAGTTTTTCCAATTTTCAGATGCAATTTTGGCTTCAGATTATACATGTCTAGTGCTTGGCCGATTTTCGTCAAATTTTGGGTTGAAATCTAAAAAAGTTTCCACGATAAAATGAATATTAAAAGGCCCAAAGACATTGCATGAATGAATGATGAATTTATTATTTACGTGCAATGTTTAACGCTCACATAGAAGACTTTGGCTTGGAATGGCGTGGCTGATTTAGTGTTTTTCGAGAAAAATCAGGTGAATGAATGTAAGCTTTTGGCATTGACAACGCACGGAATGGCGTGATTTATTTCGACTTTTTTCGAGAAAAATCAAGTGAATGAATGTAAGCTTTTGGCATTGACAACGAACTGATTGGCGTGATTTATTTCGACATTTTTCGAAAAAAATCAAGTGAATGGATGTAAGCTTTTGCCATTGACAACGCGCTGAATGGCGTTATTTATTTCGACATTTTTCGAGAAAAATCAAGTGAATGAATGTAAGCTTTTGGCATTGACAACGCACGGAATGGCGTGATTTATTTTGATATTTTTCGAGAAAAATCAGGTGAATGAATGTAAGCTTTTGGCATTACGCACTGAATGGTGTGATTTATTTGGACATTTTTCGAGAAAATTCAGGTGAATGAATGTAAACTTTTGCCATTGACAACGCACTAAGTGGCGTGATTTATTTCGACATTTTTCAAGAAAAATCAGGTGAATGAATGTAAGCTTTTGGCATTGGCAGCGCACTAAATGGCGTGATTTATTTCGACATTTTTCGAGAAAAATCAGGTGAATGAATGTAAGCTTTTGGCATTGACAACGCACTGAATGGCGTGATTTATTTCGACATTTTTCGAGAAAAATCAGGTGAATGAATGTAAGCTTTTGCCATTGACAACGCGCTGAATGACGTGATTTATTTCGACATTTTTCGAGAAAAAATCAAGTGAATGAATGTAAGCTTTTGCCGCGATGGCGTGATTTATTTCGACATTTTTCGAGAATAATCACGAGAATGGATGCAAGCTTTTGTCATTGACAACGCATTGAATAGCGTGATTTATTTCGACATTTTTCAAGAAAAATCACGTGAATCTAGGCAAGCAATTGCAAGTGCAACGGTAAAATGACAATATGGTTGAAAATGAAATATTGGAGTCTAAGCTTTGCATCCAAACTGAGGCGATCAGACAGAACCTCCGACAGAACTATCTCTTTCGTTGACTGGGCCGATTTGTTTTGTTTATCTGCAAGTGTTGATGATGACATTTTCATATTTTGAAAGAATAGACAATGGTCACTTTGTCTCCCACTTTCTTTCCTTACGCCTTGTTGTGGGAAGCTGCAGGAGTATACTTGATGCTTGACTAAATGCTTCTATTTGGATAACCGTGTAAAAAAAGAGCTTCTTATCAAAACAAACATCAATTATCAATGAAATCGAGATTCTAGATGAAAACTGTTAATCCCTAAACGATAAACATCACATTGTGGGATCCACAGTCTCGACTATCCCTTGAAACATGATTTAGCTAAAGAGAGACCCTGATGAACCAGAATGTAAACATCAAACTGCGATTTGAAATGCAATTAGCTTTCTTGAGAGGGGGCAATACTACGTTAGCATACGTAAATGGGAAACATCTAAGTTTCAAAAGCTAAACACAAACAGTTAATACGAAACGTGTAGTACAACCTCGAAGCAAAATGGGAGAATTTTATATTTTGTACTTTATCATCTAGTTTAAGTGAGCCTGGTCTAGCATGATAATTCATGTTTACATGCGTTTGCGTTCCTTTGAGACTTTAGACATGTGACTAGATTATATTAAAGATGCTGACTTGATGCAGTAAAAAGTCTCAATCTCCCTCTCAAGACATCTGACAAATTACCCTGAAGGATATTTGCAATTACAACTCTCTGGCTAGGAAGGACAACTTTACCGTTTTTGATGTTGCTAAGATCAATTTTACAATTTTAATGTTAATAATATCACAAATGATCACAAAAAAGAATCTTCCATGGCTTTTCATGAGAATATATTTATAGTTACTGTAAAATAATAATGCAATTCTGAATTAAGTTCATTGATCAAGGCTTGATTAAAATATTATCTACCATTCAAAGAGTGTCTAAGATCCACCACTTGAAAAGGGTTCCAAATGTCGGTCATTTAAGTCCTAACCAGGACCTGGACACTCAAGAAGACACATAATACAGACTCAGCAATTAAATTGAAGGCGTCTATCTTTTATTATTAAAAAGTCGCTAAGTTATATTTTGTGCAGCTGCCAATTGATTCGGCTTCTCGATAAGGGTATTCCAATTTATAGAATGGCAGAAGCGCATGCGAAATTACTTTACGACATGAACACTGCAATCGGTAATACAATCGGAGAAGATCTTCAATAGACTGAAATATTATTAGAACCAATGGGTAGTCAGAGGATGACTTAGAAATAAACAATAAAATCTATATCGCTATTCAGACGCCTTTGTAGATACTACAATAGATGATGTTGCTCGGGATGAAGATAGTCTGAAGCCTGATCAAGAATAAGCTGGGGAAATACAAGCAGGATTAGTTCCCTTGCGTCATAAAACAAATAATTAGGAGGTGAATGGTGAAATTCCTCTAGTGAAATCACGAATGAGTGCAAAGACAGGCTAAACCCATGGACAAGTTCTATGTCTATGAATGTATGATCTAGAGAATTTGATACTGGATTAATGTATGATATATTGACGACTGTGTGATGTGTTACTTGGTCTATTACAGTGGATACTTTGACCATCGCTGGGTTAAATCTTGTTTATGAGTTCATAAGAACTTGTATAGTTCACAGTGAAATCCTACTGTCGTTTTTCAGAGAAATCACCTAGGTTTGGACATGCGTCCTAGAATAACCGGCGTTTCTTTAATTGAGTATTGCCTCATGTTTTATTAAACAAGTAACACAACGTACAGGAGATTTGGATAAGCCAGGATAACTGAAACAATGAAAAATGATTATGGAACGAACATGGTGGATAAAGGCGAGCTATAAAAGATGAAGATGTCTCAGTGTGTGCTAGAGATGCTGGACGTTAAGACAATGCTGGAATGTTACCTTCTTTTTGCGTTTTATATATCGCAACTATGGGCCCAAGATAACATCACCGATTCGGATGTACCAGGTAAGAGATATCATGACCTTATATTAGCTATATATATATATCTAGTCGAAGGCAGAAAGATGTGATGAGTGTCAGAATGGGTAAGTTGAGATGCCATTTTTCTTAAAGCAGGTGCACCAACGAGATATTAATTATCTCAAAATATATGACATTTCTATTTGTTTTACTTCTGGTAGTGCCCTAATCATGGCTTGGAAATGCAGAATGGTTTTCGTGTAATACAGTAATGTAAATCATGTTCTGACATCGACAAAAAATGAGCATCGGAATGTATAAACCTGTTCAAAAGTGATTATTTTCTGGTCTATAAGTTTTAATGTGAATTAATGTTGCTTATTATATATTCTGTTTGAGGTATGTATATTTCGATCCAACATACATAGAATTGGTTGTTAAACATGGAATGGCTACTAAATTGACATTATGGGCACAAATTGGCATTAAGTCTTTACGTAATTATCGACAAATATCATCAGTATTGGTAGTAGGCTATGTACTATATGTAACGGAACACTACCCTATACTATGTTCTTCCGAAGGATAAGTCAGATTTCAGCTAGACGTGTACACTAAATTATACAGGTGATATAGAACACGATCTCCCTAATTACCAATCGTAGTGATACCAAAACAATAGAACAAGAACCACATGTTCGGAAATCCCAATAATCTTAACCATGCGGTAATGGCTTTACCAATAAACCGGTCGACTTGGCTTGATTGTGAAGGATATTCAACTGGCTTCTAGCTAACAAAATTAGGTATACCCCTCACAAACCCAACAACATCTGGAATATTTTCCTGTAAATTAAGAAGATCAGGAAGAAATTATAAACTTCCTAGGTGAATTACTCAATAATTTATGCCATGCAGTATACGTATCAAGGTGTACAGAGAAGGTCGAGTGCACGAGGTACGCTTAATACAACAAACCCCCAGACTATTTTGTTGGGTCGAGAGAATCTGCCTTTATCGGTCTCTCTTTTCTGATTAATGTTCACTCGGCCTCTGTTATCGTGAAAATCTTCAAAGTTATACGTATTATACGCTATATAGTGTCATTATCGTTCACTTTGATACGGCAGATTCATTCTATAAGATGATGGGAAAAAACTCTGGAAGGCAAATTAATTTCCCGATCGAATAATAAATAAATGGAATTATCTGAGATGTATACAAAGCCTTGCCTATAGATGATTTCTTCAAGATTGCTTCCAAATCCGCCAGGATGTATAGCAAGTGTATTGTAATGTTTATTTGTTCCTCGTTGAAGTTGTCTCGCACCATCATACGAGTAGAAAGTGGTAAACCAATATCAATTACATACTTTTCATTTACTGTTCCCTTTTCACGACCCTTTGGTCAGATCAAACAAAATTAGGTAATTTGATAAGATATTTGCTGTATTACTGAACCTTTTTCAAAAATAGGGGAGTGTAAATACGATAACATACATGAATTAACTAAAAACACGTAAATTAATCATTTCCCTATTTTGATATATAGTAGAACGTAAAAATAATATTTCTTGAACCTTTCAAAAATAGGCGTGATAAATCTTTGACAATTTGTTAGAAAATTGTGTGTAATGGGTCTATCGAAAGCCACTACATCTGGGCCGTAGTAGCAACTTGCTATCAAGGGTCGTTACACCATCTCCCCTTTGAAAGGACCACTCCCCCGTGGTCAGCCCTGCTTTCCTAGCAGTGACTACCACACACACAAGGGCGCAAAGGATACAACCAATGCTCTGATACCACTTTTCTGACAGAGATCTTCAATTAAGTCCTTATTTGTATGAATACTCTCATTACATTATGGAACATTTTAACGAACGTTGTATTAATAGAAATCTATGGAATTCCAGTTTATATTTTCGAGTCATCGGTAACTATAATATATGCTAGAGTATTGGATTGTAATTACAACGATTCTTATATCATTCCGTTCCAATCCAAAACTGTCATCACACTTAAGCCTATTAGTGATAATCTTATCTATGAATATATCTTTCTTAAAAGTGATAATTTCTAGAAACTCAACTTGACAAATTGATATTGGCAATGGACAATCTCAACGCCCAGACGATTTGAGATCATATGACATTCAAACCTGGAAAAGAATTCAACAAAAAATCTTGTATCAAATCTCTGCTAGTGCCAGTCTTTACTACACACCCCTTCTTAGATTGACAATATGGGCAACATATTAACTTGAAGAGTTACGAACTAACAGTGCTGAAATTAAAGGAAGTTGACAACAACACTACCCAATACATTCATGGTCAAGTACATGACATAGGCTCATTTCATATTCTTCCAGATTTGATTTTAGCGTGTTATGTATCGTATGTGTACGTTACGGGAATGATGAATGCGTTCATTGTTCAATCTGATCAAAACAAGAGAAATGGCATTGAGTTCTACCGGCGGTCCGGCCTCTTGTGAAGAACGTATAAATGCCGTGGGATATGATGACCGAAGAACATTCTGATACTCATGCTCATCTTTCTGTTTCACCTGAAACATCCTTTTATGTTATGAGGTATATTCTGTGATCTGAGCACATCAGATGAGAAATGTTATAACTGACAATAAGTGTGATAGTTGTTATCGTGTAATCATTTACCTAATTACCTAATTATATCATGGCATCTCAGGGCTGAGAAGAAATGAGATGTCATGGTTTATCATGATGACCGATGACTAATTGGTAGAATAAGGCATGATTACATTAATGAACAGTTTTGATATCTAATTTTGTGTACACCTGACACGTTTCAAAGATCTATATTAACTGGTCATTTAACTTCAATACCTAAAAAGTGAGACGGTGAAGAGCAACCACAACAGTGATATTGTCATTACTATCCAATGTGTATGTGAGCCACCGTTCATTTAGTTTAATCTTTGTAATGAAAAGGGATTTGCAAAGATGAGAATGAGCAGGTCCAAGGCAATAATTTATTAAAGAAGGCTCTGATTTCCTGGAGAATGCATTGGCTTAAAACATTATTTGTTTTATGATTGATCAGAGTTTTCCCACAAGTACAAAGAAGATCAGAATATGAAACAGTAGTGTGGATTGTAGTGTCACCCTCGAACGATTCTCATTGAAAAGGTGGTCTCATATGTTTCCAAATTTAGAGACACGGATAAAAGATCAGAATATGTAAACTGTAATTGTGGATTTTAATGCCACCATTGAACTATTCTCATTGAAAAGTGATCTCATGGTATATGGAAACCGTAATTGTGGATTGTAATGCCACTCTTGAAGGATTCTCATTGAAAAAAGTGATCTCATGTGTTTTCAGATGTAGAGAAACGCATGTAAGATCAGAATATGAAAACAGTAGTATGGATTTTAATGCCACCATTGAACGATTCTCATTGAAATAGTGATCTCATAGTATATGGAAACTGTAATTATATATTGTACTGCCACTCTTGAAGGATTCTCATTGAAAAAAGTGATCTCGTATGTTTCAAAATGTAGATCGCTTAATAAGGTATCTATACAGAGTGCGTACTACATTCATAACCTGCTTTTAGAGTTAAGTACCCATATTAGGCTACAGATGCACAATGGCGTAGAAGTATATCTTGATGGAACTTTCTATTATTTGATTATGCAAATCCGGTTAGACATCGATATCTTTATTTATGTTCGACATTTTGGTAACACAATGCCGCCAATTGCATTTGTAGAGTTCTAAATTCAATGTACGTGAGCCTTTCCATGGACGAATCCATCAATAGCTATAACCTTGATCTTCTTATTGAAAGTGAAAATTTGAATAACATCTTATTTTCAAAGCATTCTGTTGCACTGGTGTCTATGCTTCTGGAAAATTAGATATCTAATTCTGCATCTGGAATCGCATTTTATTTAGTATCAATTTGTCATCGACTGCTGTGAACCTAAGGAACATAAGAATTGAGATAATAAGAATTGCCCTATAAGAATTGCCCTATCCTTGTTCCGAGGGTACTTCAACTCTTTACATCATCTACTAATCATAGCTGTGGTAGCAGTGTAGCCCGATCGTGAAGGTTGGGTTGCCTTAATATCAATAGAACATAAATCGTGTCTTGAAAAAAAACTTGACATAAGATCGGCGTTGGTCAGAACAGACTACTGGTCCTCGCTATGACCAAGTTATCCCACCCAATTTTCTGACCTACAAAGATGGCAAACAAAAAAACAATACAACAGAGGAGCTACGATACTCCATTAGTCTTGCATCAGGTCACTGTTCCCCATCCCAATACTTATTTCAACTATAGGATGCCTCTATGGCCTTATGGGTATATAAAAAAGTGCCATATGGGTAAAGACTACTACTCGCATTCGATTGACTTCTTGAATATAGCCCGTCTTCTTTGCAACTATCACTGTGGTCGGGGTAGGTAAAGAAACTGCAAAATAATAAAAGACAGTCGAAAATGAACATTCAACAGTATCGCGGCTCTTCACAATAAGACAAATCACAGTATCCTAAACAATGATACACAAGAGCTTCATGAAGACCTCTGCCCGATTACTGTCGTACCCAATGGGTTTTGTGCAGCAGAAACATATATATTATTATTTTCTCAATGTTAATCTGGCCTAACAATCTGCCCTGGTACAGTGTTATGATCATGAAGTCTGCTAAAGAAAAAACATTAGATATGATTCATGAAGGAGAGTATGACATTGTAATCCAAGATAATTCTACAGAAAGTGACATTGATATTAAAGGAACTTTCAGACGATTCAATGCCGAATTTGGAAATTGTGAGCGATATGTTCTCAAGAAAAATAGTCTTACCTTTTCATTAAGGTAGGCACTTTACTTGAGGACAAGGGAATGAGTTGTATAGGGGATGAGTTGTCTAGGGGATGAGTTGTCTCGGAGATGAGTTGTCTAGGGGATGAGTTATTCAGGAACGAGTTGTCTCGGAGATGAATTGTCAGGTTACCTTGAGGACCACTGTTTCACATGACTGCCATTA